ACGTGGTCAGCTAGTTCAGGGCTGCTGCCTGCTGTGTGTGTGTCTGGACACGGGGTAGGAGACTACAGTTTGGATTTTAGTACAGTTGTGTAATCTGCACCTTGAGCCCTGCACCCCTTTGTGGTGAGGGGAAATCCTGGGACCAAAGCAGCCTGATTCCAGCCTGAAGAGGATCCCTGTTAGCAGAGATCAGCCCTCTGCAGTGTCTGAGGAGTCCAGAGTCATCTCTGAACCTGAGGATCATTCATGGAGTTTGTGAGTGCACCATCCTTTAGTTAGTCAGGGAATTTGTTTTGGGGACCCCCTACTCCCTGAACTGTGTCCTCAAGCCAGGGAGTAAGGGTTTGGGGATTTTATAACCTGCTGCATAGTAAACCCGTGGAGGGATTTAGCACCTTCTCCCACTTGTGAGTCCCTTGGGCTGTACTGAACCTAGTCAGCCACCCTGCTAAACCACTGCAGAGAAGAATTTTGTGGTCATAGGTCATCAAGGGCCCCAACAAAGTATGTGTACCAACAGGTCACTAATCTTACATTTGCTACATCGAGTCATGTGACTAGGGAAAGTAACAAATATTAGCAGCGTGGGCACCGGTGAAACTAAAAATAGTGTTTTACCCTGTTATCTTCTATTTGTCTCCTGTTTAATATAATTATTGTGTTGAATATATTATATGTCTTTGTGTTATTTTCTTGGAGTCTCCAACTATCTGGCAAGTAAGTTGGGATTACCCTGTGGTTAGAATTTTCCTCCCAAGCTGCCCTGGTGACCCTGCCAGGAAATAAATTCATAGGAAAAAATAAAGAAGATACACCCTGCTGAGTGGGTGGCAGAATGGAGAAGAACCCAGACCTGTCCATCAAAACCTGTAAGCACATTGGCATTAAAGAAGTTAAGCAGATGGAGAGGGGGCGCTATACAAGTTTGGTTGGTAAAGGTAATAGCAGCAGTATAATAGGCCTAGATTTCTTTAAGGCATTTGACTTGTTTGGCTAAGTAATAGGCCACAAAATATAATTGATGATTCCTTGTTGACAGTCAGGTATGTTTCCAGTGGAACCCTGCAGAAGTAGGGTTGGCAGATGGTTGAAATAAAAATACCGAACACGCCCCTCCCCCCCAAAAAAAACACTGGGAAAAAATATTGTTGAAGGGGAAAAAAAGGGGGGGGGGCAAAGTTCTTGAAGGGGGAAAAAAAAAAAAGAAAAGGACTCCAAGGACTTAGCCAAAAAAACAAAAACAAACCCAAAATCAAAACAGCATTAAAACAGTATGTCCCCTTTAAGACTGAGTGCAGGGATAGGAACAGGGGAGCAGTTGAGCGCTAAGTCTTTTGGCCGGTAGCCATTTTGTGCCAGCAGCCTTGCATAACCAGGTAAGCATGGGGGCTGGGCTTGAGGTGCTGGGGGTGTTGGGAGCCGGGGGGGGGAGGGAGGTCGGGTGCTGAGTGTTTGTAAGGTTGCCAGGTGCCCGGCATTTTTGCCTCCTGGCCGGGGAAAAAAATCAGAAAATCTCTGGTGTCTGGTTTTCTCTGAAATTTTTTACCAGAGAGGAGGCGAAAATACCAGACTGTCCGGGTGAATACCGGACACCTGGCAACCCTACGCAGAAGTCAGTTCTTAGTACTATGCTATTAACATTTTTATCAATTACCTAGAAAGAAATATAAATTCATTTATAATAAAAGTTGGCATTAAAGGGGGTTGTGGTAAATAATGAAGAGGATTGAGCAATATGGATCTGTTGGTAAGCCAGGTGCAAGCAAATATGCATTTTAATAAGGTCCAAGGTAAAGTCACGTCTCGGGACAAAGAACATGTAGGCTATACGTACAGAGTGGGGAATGCTGTCTTGGAATGCAATGATTCTGAAAAGGATTTGAGGGAATAATCAGCTGAACGTGCACTTCCATGGTGATGCTGCGGGCAAAAGGCTAATGTGATCCTGGGATGTATAATCAGAGGAATACGGAGTAAGGGCAACAAGGTAATTTTACTTCTGTGGCACTGATGTAACTACTGCTGGAATCACCATAGAGGTTGATTCACCACTATGTTAGTGCAGTTTTACACCCTTGGAATTGCACTGAAGTCAATGGAGATATACACTAGTGAAAAACTAAAGGAGCGGATTGGTGAACCAGGCTTTAAGTAAGAAGCATAAGCTACCATACACCTTCAACCATTGGGGTCTATTTTGAATATCCAAGGGTTACTGCCTTTATAGAACCTCATCTGTTTTTACCCCCCTGTGTAACACACCGAATACGGTGTCTAATTCAAGAAGGATTTAAAAAAAATCTGGAGAGAATAGTACCACAAGAATAATTAAGGGATTGGAAAACATGCCTTATATTGAAAGACTCAAGAAACTCAATCTATTAAGCTAACAAAGAGGTTAAGGGGTGACTTGATCCAAGTCTATTTAATTCCTATGTGGGGAAGACACGTTTGATAGCCGTGGGCAGACAAAGCTACCCCTTCTCTCCATTGTCTGGAAGCTGAAGCTAGGCAGAGTCACACTGGAATTAAGATCAACTTAAAAAACAACAAATAGTCTGGTAGCACTTTAAAGACTAAGAAAACATGTAGATGGTATCAGGTGTAGACGTTAACAACAGTGAGGCCAATGAACCGTTGGAACAATGGTTGAAGTGGATTTCCTATCACCGGAATTTTTTTTAAAGCAAGACTGGATATTTTTCTAAAAGTTTTGACCCAGGTCAAAGAGGAATGAACTCCGGGACATCTTGGCCCCGTGTTATGTGGGGGGATATCTGACTAGACAATCACAGTGGTCCCTTCTGGCCTTACAATAGATGAAGCTGTAAAAGGAAAAACCATTGTTTATGGAGGTGTTGGAATGCGGACTGAGCGCTTCTCGGCTCCTCCAACGTCGCCTTTAGTCCCCGGCAGGAAGCCCAGTTCTAACTTCCCCGTGATTCAGAACAGATGTCTGCTTGCCTCTTCATGGGGGGCTGGGAAAGGAGTGACCTCTCTTGGAAGCAAACTGCTCCTGTCTCCCTCCGGCCTTCACCCCCACTGGTCCCTTCGGAATCAGTGGCCACCACACGAACCTTCCACACTCCACCCCAACGACTTTGCAGAAGAGGTGTGATCGACTGCTTCCACTGGGAAAAACACCACTGCGTCTCCTCCAAGCGTGGCCCGTGCTAAACAGACATACAGGGACAGCTCTTGGCTGGTATGATTATTACTTCATATTTGTTTAGCCCAGACAATGACTCTCTGTAGTCTCTTGTATTCAGAATGCAGAGGGCAGAACATGAAAGCAGGACAATATTTACAGACCTGGCCAATTGCCAGGATAATTTATGAAGCAGAGAAACCTTTTAAATCATATTCGTAAGTAGAAGGCACAAGCCCCTATATTTTAACTGTCGAAAAAGTGGGACAGTTTTAGAATATGTAGGCCAGATTTTCAGTTGGTGGAAGCTGACATCGCTCCACTGGCATCAGTGGGGCTCCTTTATGCCTGTTGAAGACCTACACCGTAGGGGTTGAGTCACCACTCCGTTAGTGCAGTTTTACACCCTTGGAACTGCACTGAAGTCAATGGAGATATACACTAGTGAAAAACTAAAGGAGCGGATTGGTGAACCAGGCTTTAAGTAAGAAGCATAAGCTACCATACACCTTCAACCATTGGGGACTACTTTGAATATCCAAGGGTTACTGCCTTTATAGAACCTCATCTGTTTTTACACCCCTCTGTAATACACCGAATTCAACATATAACTGTACGGTCAATAGCAATTTTTCCCCATGGGGAAACAAAGGGGGCTTGTTGTTATCACATTGGACTGGGAGGCAAAAGTCTCTCTCTGCTCTGCCACTGACTGACTGTGTGGCCTTGGGCAAGTTGTTTCATTTTTCTGTGCCTTGGTTTCCTCCTCTGACAGCTGGAAATCACAAAACTGGTGGTCGGCAGGGGGGTTGAATGCAGCTCCCTTCGTGACTCTTCATAAAGTGCTGCGAGATCCCAGATGGAAAGTGCTCTAGAAGAGCAAAGACTTAGGGGAACGCCCACGAGCCTCCCACAGCTCTTTCGAGGCTGGGCAAATGTGGCTGGCAAGTGGCAGCATGGCAAAGGCCAGTTTGGGACTCACACACGTTCGGGGTTGAATTAGCCCATTCAGTCAGCAGGGCCCTGTGCAGTCTGAATCTACCCTTCCCCCTCCTCGATACCATAAACAAACCCCGCTTTCCAGTTCCCCACTCATTAGGGGCTCAGCTGTGTCTAGATGGGACCCAGATAAGAAGCAATCACTGCCACGCTGGAGGAGCTTAATGCATTGCTACTCAGAGCTCCTGAGAGGCAGGGCAGTGCAATTATCCCCATTGTATTGATGGAGAACTGAGGCACACAGAGACTAAGGGCACATCCACACTGCAGCACACGGGGTGACTGTGACCTGCATCCATGCCCTAGCTTGAATCTAGCTGCTGGGCTAACTATAGCCGTGAAGAGAAGAGAACCCAGGCTGTAGAAGCCTGCCTGGGACCCTGGGTGCATACTTGCCTTGCTGGTCCATGCTGGGGCATCTTCACTGCTCCTTTTACCCACACTGACTAGGGTAATGCCCGCCTGGATATGCCTACAGGAACTGCAGACATCCCACTGCCTGGCCAAGAGTCACCGAAACGCCGGGTTACCAGGGACCGCAAGGGTCACCCTGCCAAGATGAAGGTCACGCGGGGAGCTGTGGAGTGGGGAACTCAGCTTGATCCTCCTGAATTTCAGGCCAATGCCACAACTACGGGGCCACAACTCCCACAGGCCTGGCTCATATTTTTAATCTCTGTATCAGGGCGGGGAGGGGGTAAACCAGTCCACCTCCCTCTTCACTCCAAGGGCTTTCTCCTTCCAGAAGCCCCTGACACTCAGGGCCAGGCCCCTTGGAAGCGAAGGGCAGGATGGGGCTTAGCAGGAAACCATCCAGTGTCAGAGGGGGGTGGGAAGGTCTGGCCGCGCTTACCCAGGTGCAGCGTGAGGTTGACGGAGTTGGGGTGCTGTATCCCGAAGGCCATGGACTGACTCTGCCACCAGGTGCTCTCCTCTTGGCTGTGGAAGTCGGTCAGGTAGGTGGCGTTATGGTGGCGCAAGGGGTCTGCCACGTCGCAGCGCTGGCACAGCTTGGTAGTGTCCCGCGCTCCCATCTGGAGGCAGTAATCCTCGGGCGGGGAGCCGCACGTGTTGGTCACCCGCACCTCCCTGCCGAAGGCCACGTTCTCGAAGGCGGGCATGCAGCGCTGTGCCCGTCCCTGCGGGTCATAGCAGGAGTCCATGACCCCTGCAGCAGGGCGCAGCCTAAGGGACAGCAAAGCCAGGAGACACAGATATGGAACCAGTGCCATGGCCAGCCTCAGAGGACACTGAGTTTCCTTCTCTCCAGTCACAGCCTCTGGAGACTCTGGCAGGTCCCTCCTCCTTTGCCAGAGCAGCCCCGCTCTCGGATCCACTTGCTCCAGGTTCCATCTTGTGGATGCTGAGGGAAACACCCAAAATAGGCTTATTTTTTAATCCGAGACCACATATTTACCTTCCGTAGCGGCAAGATTCACACCAGGGTCTACAGAGGCTTCACTTGAGGTGGAGTCCAGCCATAGCCCCTCTTCTCTCCCCCCATAGATGCCAAGGGATACCCCCCAAGTGCCAGACCCTGGCTGCAGTTGGGGTGCTGCTAGAGTGTCAGCACATCCCTGTGATCTCCCGTCCGGACACAACCTCACCACTCCCATCCTGGTCTCGCTGTTGTGGGCCTTTGTGACAAAAACACAGGACCAGCCAGAGTATTCTCGGGAGGAGTCTCTGGGAGGGAACCCCAAACTTGACTCATTGTACCTGACGAGCGTATGGGCCCCCGCTGTGGGAACAGAGCTTGGCAGTTAGTTCTCCTCAGCCCAGTAATGGCTCTGTAATGGTTCACATCCCTCACATTTTCCAGGCTCTTTGCAAGGAAAAGAGCTGGAAGCTTTTGTTTTACATGAAACCTGAGCAGGGCTGGCCCACAACATTTTGGCACCTGAGGTGGGGAGCTCAAATGACGCCCCCATTCCCCTTCACTTGGGCCAAAACTTTGAAAGGTCTCAATTCTACCTTCTTCCTGTTCTACTCCTCTCATGGTTCTGCTCTGCTACCTACATAGGCACCAGCAGCAGACACAATTTTCTACACTCTGGGGCCTAGTGGTGCCCCCCCCCCTAGTCTGGCACCTAAGGCGGCCACCTCAGTTCACCTCATGGTAGGGCCAGTCCTGAACCTGCACGTTTCGCTCTATTTCTTGAGCGGGGGAGACCTTGAGAGTCACGGATCCCCATGCCTAGCTCTGCCTGGGCTCTCACACCCAGCGCTGGCAGTGCTCCCCATGCACAGCTTTGCCTGCAGGGACCCCCTCACGCAAACACCAGCTCTGCCCTCACCCTTGGCACCCTTGTTATTCAAGTGGTGCCAACCACATGGCGCTCAGCTGAGTTTTGTAATGGGACCGCACTCTAGGCTGGCCACACAGCAAGTGTGAAAAAAATCAGGATAGGGTGGGGGATAATACAAGAAAAGAAACTCCAAATATTGGGACTGTCCCTATAAAATTGGGGCCTAACGCACTCTCCCACTGGGGACCGGGCTGAGATGCCCCAACTCTTCCTCCCTGGTTCCCCACAGTAAGGCAAGTTTGGGGGGCAGGACTCCAGGATCCCCATCCCCTCTTGTGAACAGAGCACTCAGAGTGCTCCATGGCCCTTTCCCCAAGCACTTAAGGAACCTCCAGGTCTCAGAAGGGTTGAGGAAGCTTCTCCATCTTCTAGGCAGGCTCCCACTTGAAAAGTGTCTCCAGTAGGTGGCAGGGATGGACCATCATTAATCCCGGTCTAGCTACAAGCAGGGGGATGCTATTGGGGTGGGTTAGAAGTGCTCAGAGGTCACAGGAACCGGGGAGCAGGAGCTAAGGGGAGGTTACAAGGAGAACAAGGCTGCAGTTCCCCAAGCAGCTTCTCAGCATTTCCTTTTCCCTGCCTCTGTGCTGCACATTTCAGAGGAGTTCTTCACCCAGGAGACCAGTCACGTATTTAAAGCCAGGAACCAAAAGGGCTGCAGCGGGTGAAGGGTGCACCCAGAGCAGGGCCGAGACAGAGAAACTGGTACTGGCCTGGCCAAACATTTGCTACTCAGAACAAGGCTGTGTGGGCATGGGACATGTGAAGTTCAGACTGAGATCACAATCAGGGGGGTCCATCAGGGTAGACTCAGCGGATGGGGGATGCACTCACATCATCCCCAGGCTGCTGGTGCTAGGTGAGAGGCCTGCATCCCAAAGCAGCTGAAGCCTTGTCTGTAATGAGATGCTTGGTCACCCGTGTAGCTACCCGGCTGCAGCAACAGTAGAGCAATGGCTACCGTAGAGGAGCTGCACACAGATAACCAGTCCTTACACTGCAACAGCTTATTTAGGGTTGTAAGTCATGGTTCATTCTGGTGCACTGCATCTCTGCTGGGGGTGTGCACTGGGGTACCTGTCTCGATGCAGTCGCTCCAGTGGCTTAGTCTCCAATAGAGACGCGGCCCAAGACTTCCCTCAAGAACCCAATGGTTCCCCTGCTGCTGACTGAAAGGAGATGCTGGCCTGTAGCCAGGCCCGACCCTACAGCGAGATGAACAAGGCAAATGCCTTGGGTCCTGCGCTGATGAGTATTCACCTTTGATTGGCCCCATCCACTCCCAGGCTATGTCTAGACTGCACCCCTCTGTCGACAGAGAGACATAGATTAGGCATGTAGAAATTGCTAATGAAGCAGGGATTTAAATATCCTGTGCTTCATTAGCATAAACATGGACACCACTTTTTTTTTTTAAACGGAGCTTTTAAAAAAAAACAAAACGGCACTCTAGAGGTGGATCTGTCGAAAAATAAACCCTTTTTCGATAGATCTGCGTCTAGACTGCCGGGTTTTGTTTTTTTTCGAAAAAGCTCCATTTTGAAAAAAAAGCAGCAGCCATATTTATGCTAATGAAGCGCGGGATATTTAAATCCCTGCTTCATTAGCAATTTCGACGTGCTTGATTTGCATCCCTCTGTCGACAGAGGAATGCAGTCTAGACATAGCCCCAGCATCCTGCCTTGGGCCCCGCAAACCCTTTGGCTGGGCCTGCCTGTGGCTGAATTGCTAGGAGCGAGGCTAGATTCCCCCCCTCCCCCGGGCACTTCACAACCCGCCACCTGCAGCCTCCGTGTATTTGTCTAGGTTGCAAGTTTTTTTGTGGAACAGGCCTACCAAATTTAACAGAACAGTTATGTTAGATCAGCCTTATGACCCGCACTGGGATTCCGTAGGATGGGTCAAAACATGGGAAAAGTCAGCATGGTCTGTTGCATTTTATAAGTCTTTAGAGACATTTCTATAGATGGTCCTGGCTGTTAAATTCTGTATCGCTTGCCACAAGGCTGCTGATGGAGAAATGGGAACCAAGACACAGGGGGAGGAGCTAAGAACACAGACACTTCGACACAGACACTTGTTTTGGCTCGTGCCTTTGAACTGCTCTCAGACAGCGCAAGCCTCACCATGGGGAAAGGATGGCGTCAGCTCAGTCCTGCTCAGAGAAATTCACTTCCAAGGCCAAGCACCTCACAGTGCAGGGCATAAAGCTCCGTAAAGATTCCTGAGCCGAAAGCTCCCTAAAGCCAGGCAGGTGTAAGGCTAAGACTGGGAATCCAGCCTGAACAGCCCCCTCCCTCAGCTCCAGCTGCAAGTGTCCTGAAATGTTTCTTAGCTTTGCAGCACAGACATTGCAGCTTGTACCCTGGATTTCACACAGTTCTACACTTAGATGAAAATGTATCCTAGGCCCATACACAATTCTACCAATGCACCTTGGTCACATCCAGCACTGAGGCTGCACAGCTCTGCCTCCGAGTTCTTTTGTCCTCTGAGTTCCCCATATGTTTTGGACCTGCTGTCTAAAACCAGTCTGATAGTCTCTCGGGGAGGTTGGGCCACTTTCCACAGCATCAGTAGCTGTGTTATTGTGCTGTAAAAGCCCTCAAATATTTGCTGAGGGATCTGTTCCATGCAAAGTCAGTGTTTCAACTTCCTGTTCACTTCCCCTCAAGCCCCATTGACTTAAACCAGTCTAGTCACACAGTGAGGCTATGTCTACACTGGCGGGTTCTTGCTCCAGAAATATGCAAATGAGGCTAAGTGTGGAATATCGCTGAGCCTCATTTGCATGTCCAATGAGCCACCATTTTGCGGAAGAGGCTCTTGTGCCAGAAGGAGCTGTCTACACTCCCCCTTTTTGCACAAGAAAAACCCTCTTGTGCAATGCCGCTATGCTGATTATTTTCAGGAATAATGGCATTATGCAAGAGGGTTTTTCTTGCACCAGAAGGGGCAGTGTAGACAGCTCCTTCTGGTGCAAAAGCCTCTCATGCAAAATGGCAGCTCATTAGATATGCAAATGAGGCTCAGAGATATTCCATGCTTAGCCTCATTTGCATAGCTCTGGCGCAGGATCACACCAGTGTAGACATAGCCTGGCACTAGAAGGCTACGTCTACTCTGCAACACTATTTCGGGATACCGGAGTATCCCAAAATAGCTATCCCGCATCTTCACAGCAAGTCCATTCTATGAGGAGTAAGGGACATTTTGGAATAGTGCTTTATTTCAAAATTTGGTGTAATAAGCTATTTCAAAATAGCATTGAAATAAGATATGCACAGCTCAAACTGCGAATCTTATTTCACGTTATGGTGCTGTGTAGATGCGCCAAAGGGAGCTCAAGAGGTTAAGTCCAGTCCCCTGTATTCATAACAGGATCAAGCACCATCCCTGACAGGTGTCTGATAACCTGCTCTTAAATATCTCCAAGTGATGGAGAGTCCACAACCCCCCTAGTCAATTTATTCCAGTGTTTTACCATCCTGACAGGAAGTTTTTCCTAATGTTCATCCTAAACCTGCCGTGCTACAATTTAAGTCCATTGCTTCTTGTCCTATCATCAGAGGTTAACGAGGAAACATTTTCTCCCTCCTCCTTGTAACACCCTTTTAGGTACTTGTCCAGGAATCTCTGCCTTGACTTTCAACACTCCCTGTCTTGCCAGGCCTAGACCTCCACCCCCACTCAGTCCTGTCAATGCACCTCAGGATCAACCTGCAAGAACAGGGTTTGGGGAGGGATGCTGGCAGAAAGAGCATCGACTTGAGAAATCCTCTGCTAGCCCCTTCAAAAGCACCCTCCCAAAGGAGACCAGGACTTGCTCAGCTTTTTCCAGCTTCAGGCCTTACCGCAAGATTCACCTAGTCACCCAGGCATTCCCCAAAGCACTAGAGCAGAAGAAAGCCCATCCGTGCGCTCAGCAATAAATAGAAGCCGACGGCCAGGCCCAGGAGCAGGACAGAGAACCGTCCCTGTTGGCCAAGCTCCCCTTGCTTTCCTTTAATCCCTGTTTCAGTTACCCACAGCAGAGCTCCTTGGTTAGACTAAC